TCCTTGATTGCATTCTATCATTGAAATTACTGACAGCAGCAGCCCATATTATACGTTTTACACAGTCAAAGGTTTTCCTGGAGCAACAATCCATATCACATGGTGTAGGGGCTCATTAGCATTCTGAGTGATGCAATCTAAGCATTTTGCCAGGAGCTCATCACTAGATAACCTTTCATTACACACTCTGGCACAGACAGTTTGTGTGAATATTCTGAGCTAGTGGCCTTAGCTATTTGGAATTTACACCAAGAATCTTCACCAGTAGGGCAAATGTGTTGCTGAAGTTTCGATGTTGGTTGATATTTTATGGTACCAAGTTGCCCAAATTACATTCCCTATTCCTTCCAGATTGCTTTTGTTTGAATGTATAGCTCTCCCAGTTCTGGAGACTATCAAAAATCTTATCAGTGAGTCTGCCAGCACCCCTATTCCCTTGCCATTGCTGAGTTTTTTACCTCTCACATCTTTTTTTTCAGATTTTACAAAGCTGTTCCTAACCTTTTTTGAACATGTCCTACACACAATTTTTTCTCTCTACAATTCTGTCTTCATATAGTATTGACTCCTTCACTGTATGGAAGGATTTGCTGTCGTCACTGCCGATGTATGTTGTGTATCTGAGGCCTCTTTTCTTCTCAGATTTTTGAAATATTCTCAACCATACCTACCAGTTCCATTGAAGGCATGGAATAGTCATAATTTGCTAAGCAAATTCTACTCTTTCTCATTTTTTGTCCTGTTTTTGTTTAAAGATCAGGAATGACAGTATCTACTCAGTAGTTCATAGTCTATGACTTTTCCAGATTCACTTAAAAGAACAGTGACAACAACATGTAAGGAAGAGTAGCCCTGTTTCTACTGTTTCATTTTTCTACTAGTATGCCAAAATTTTTCTCTATATGCAAGTTCATTCCTTTTCACACATATTTTAGAGTAGCAGCAAGTCCACCTTTAATAGTTCTACTGGTAATTTCTAAGCTCAACTTTTACCCACACGAACAGTGGCAAAATTCACTTCTTACTTCTAACAGAAAGTCAATATCAACACACATATTAGTATTATTATCGCTTTGGATACAATCTTGTGTAACCTCTTCTTTTCTTTGGTAGGGTCCCTTCAGAAATAGGCCACATTTACAAATGATACTGACACAGTAACTGTAGTACTAGTGCTACACTCAACTTTTAAGGTAAAACTAAAAAGTAATCAATTTCTACAAAGTAACTCAATAAGCACAATAGGTAACAAAGGTCGTAAATGCTTCACTAAAATCTAACACACGCTGATTGATTCACTTTGCCAGCTAGGACCAACTCTCAAGCTTCTGAACTAATTTTCCTAACTGTCTTTCTGAAGTTTTGCTGACCCTGTGTTTAGACTTTACTCTTATATGTATTAGAAAACTCGACGTCAAATCTTTAATGTTTTTAGTCCAAATTAATGTCATTATTACGACCTGCAGCACCCTCTAGTAAACACTTAAAATTTATATTATAACATTAATACATTCTTACTATTGGAAGCTTCTATCGGGTCAATAAAGAATGATGGTTTTTAGAATTATTATCACACTTACTTGTAAAGTTTTTTCTCACCCAAACGCGAATTTCAGTGAATTTTAGGCATTTTATTTCTTTCTTCTTCTTTCCAACAATTACAATATTGTGTGCTACTCCTTTATTTCTGAGCCGATCTTCTAAAAATTTGGAGGTAATATACCTTGATCTTCAAATTCGATGACGAGGAACCCACTTTGAGACTAATAATGGCTGGAGACGGCTTGAATGGGTAATGAAGAAAAACTTTAATATAAGTTTAACATAACAGCAAATGTACAACGTTTCGACAAGGTTTTGTCATCGAGTAAGTACCTGATGATGACAAAACCTTGTCGAAACGTTGTACATTTG